TAAAAGAAAATTCAGGAAATCGGATAGCGGCCGAGTCCATCCTTCTAGAAGGTTCTGAAGTAGCTGCGGAGACTGAAGGCGAAGGTGCGTGAGTGTCTAAGGACAGCGTGTGAGAGAGCGAGAGAGACGGTGGTGCAGCATAAGCGAACAGGATAAAGGATATAAGATGGCGGCGGTTTAGAAGGTATAAGAAGACAGTGGGATAAAGGTAGCTGGGACGAGGGGAAGCTGGTTTCTAAGGGATGGAGGGGTGGGTTCAGCGTTAAGGCGATTCCGGTTCTCCTTAAGCTTCTCCCTAGCATTTCTCTGCTTCTAAGAGGGTCCTTCTGCGTCAGTTAGGTTAATGGAACGCTCTGCCGCAAACGGCTCGGAGCTACGGTCGTTTCCGATTTGAAATGGCGTAGAAGCGGGGCCCCAAAATGCAATAACAGCCCCGTCGAACTTTCTCTTGCACGGAACTAAAACTATGCCTCACGGGTATTCCCGGGCGAAACGCCGCTTGGCTTTTCGTCACATTTCGCGACTTTGCTTTTCACTATGATAAATCGCTCAAGTTCTGCTGGCTCTACGCAGAGCGAGCGGATGGGACTTTTAGAGAGGACTTGGACCATCCAGTTGGCCTTATACGGTGAATAGAGGAAGCTGCGAGGATCGAGAGCGCAGTAAGGTGGAATGCAGTTGTGCAACGACGATACGAAATGGCTTCTGTGGTAAAGCGACAATTTCTGGTAAGAAATGAAGAAAAAGAAAAAAAAAAAAATATTAACATCGTCGTAAATCAAATGGCGAAACGCGAAGGGAATACTCTACGCTTTTATTCTTTACTTTTATATTGTGCTTTTATGGTACAGCGATACGAAATAGAGATTTCTATACTGATTCCCAGTTTCCCGGGAGTTCTTTTCATTACGTTTTCATATTCATACGTACATTTCATTGTTACGTGCGTCTGCACTATTTTATGCTGATTTAATGTAGTACCTGCTACACTTTACAATCGGCAATTGATATCGGGATAAATTAATATAATATATTAGGCATTGTTTAAGAGGACAATGGATCTGTCTAGTATTATTTTATAATTATCGTATTGTTATTATATCACAAATGGGAGGACTGGTACTGATTATAAAGGATCATTTAATTTGAATAGTAATCAATCTGCAGACCCTGTAACTATGAAATATATTGAATACCCATTATGTCCTATAATTTTTTGATTAATATTGTATCTAGTGTATATAGAAAAAATAATTTTCATGATGCATTTGCCTATGCATACATATATGCATACATCCTATGCACATGATATTATTATACCTAATGAGAAAATTTTGTCATTACAATTTTTACTTTCATTATAAAGTAAACCTGCCTGAAAAATTATACGGACGATCAATCACGAGAATTAACAAGAGTACGAGAAAAAAGATACCGTTAATTATAAATAATGACTTTTACGGTGAATTCAATGTGAATATCATTATAAAAAAAAAAACCAGCAATATCGGCGTACTTTTCATTCGATTCGACGTCTCTCGGGACATTAACTCGCAAAGCGGTCTCCTTTGTTTTCCCATGCAAGAGGAAAATTCTCAAAGTCCACCCAAGTTAAATTGGATCTGCCAGCTGGGCTGGCGGTGGGCTTAATTTTTAAAGGATGACTTACACCAGGCTTGCCAACCGCGGAAAAATCCTTGAACGCTCCGAACACATCGGTTCCGCCATGATAATTTTTTTTTCAATTTTTTTTTCACCTACTAAAATTAACCTGCTCGTCGTACCACCTTTGTGCAAAAAATTAATTTTTATTTTCATTTCTCACTATAATTCTATGGTAGAGACGAATGAGAATCCTAAGTCATATTTATACAGGGCTGTAAACCTAACCCTTTTCGAAAATACGTATAGTACCCCGGCTAAGGCATACGAGACAAAGAAGACTATTATCATTGTTTGAATAGCGCGGGTCCGCCATTTTGAGTATTTCCTGCGAGGTATTTGACGCTCGCGGGCGTCGAAATATAATGGAGTACTATACGCGCCAGTTGCAGAACAATTGATGGGCTTTTCGGGCTGCACAAACATTTATAGACATAATAGAGAGTCAAGATGGGAGTTAGATGACAGTCGAAAGTTGTTGTACGGTAACGGAGTCTCGTAGCTCCAATTCAATTTGGAACTTAATAAAAGGATGATACAGTAGCCCCGCTCTGTTCTCGCCTGGCTCCCTTTTTTCACCTCAACCCAGAACCCCTTTACTCCAGAGAACAGAGCTACCCTCTTGTCTTGCCATTTCGCAGGACTCGTATTCATTACAAATAATGGCCTATTTTCTCGACAAGCACTATGAGCCTCTTGCCAGAGCCCTTCGAGAGGTGTCATGGCATAGAGTAGTATCTTATACATGACTACGTATATATCTTACAGTACGCGTGTACAGCAAGGACTAAAAGTTGACGAATTTCGTGAAAAAAAATATTTTCACAACCCCCCCCCCCCTTTTTATTAATCGTAAGATTTGCGCGGTACTGTATAATTTTGTAAAATCCACTAGTAACAGTTTTTCAAAATTTTTTACCTAACCTAACCTAACACCTATAGGGTCATCTTTAAAAAAATTTCTAAACTACCGATTAAGTAGGAGGAATAAATGAATGAAAAAAAAGTTAAAAAAAAGAAGTCCGATATACGTCCCAGCAAGGGCATTTTTCGATTTTAATAATCCCTCGCTCAAGTTCTAAGGGCAATCCGATAGGACTTGCCGAGAATGTAATTTGCTTGGTGAGAAGGGAAACCCAACCCTCCGTACGGTAGAACCCCTCGTGACGAAATTTCCGCCATACACCCCCCTCTTCACCGACCCTCCCATTTTCTAGCCATATTTAATTCTCTTTCGGCTTATCTCGAGGATATAATATTTCATACGGTCCGCGACTGTGGTGTCGTCAGTTCCCGCTCGCAGCGCCATCTACGATTAAGGGAGGCCTCACGAGCGATTCCGGAGTTAGTTAGCTACTAAACTTCAAATTGCTCGCGAGTAATTTCATTTTGCGTTTAATCTTTGCTCCGGGTAGATGCTTTGCCGGGGGAACCGGGTTAACGAAACTTCCGTAACGCGGTTTTGATTCGCGGAAGGAATATTATCCTTTTTGCGGTATGAAAGTGGAGGGGACAACACCACGTACCACGTGGTTCGTAATGATACAAAGAAAATTATTTCTTCGGCATAGTACGTTACATAAGCGTCCAACTGTATTAAAAAAAGATTTACGTACCTAGTTCAATCTTTTTTTTTTCCCCAACAAATCTCACATGAGCTGCGCAGTGTTTCTGCGCAGGTTTACGTGCTCTGCTTGTTTTCGTCGTAATACTTTATGGACTTGCAAATGGGAGGGATCGAACGTCAGCTGCAGACATTCTATCCCTTTACTATTTCATCCCCTTCCACGTGTACCTCTTGCTCACTACCAAACGCAACGTCAAATGCGTCGTTGAACTTTTATCCATTACTTTCTCTCCTGCTTCCGTAGCAATCCACGTTATCTCCTGTCTCTCTTCGTTATTGCCTCAAGTCGACTCAATCGCCTTTACGAACACGTAAACACACGAGAGATCGTTTACAATTCGTACAGGAACGAAACGAAAAATAGGAAAATCGAGTTGCCAACGTTGAGAAACAAAAAATTATGAATTACGCGAGTCAAAGTAACAGACGTATCGTAATTTTGAAAATATCAGAAAGGGACGTTAGACGTTTTATAAATTGAACTTAAAGGTTCACGTGACTCTCGGCGACAAATGCCAGTAGAATCATACTTTGCCTAGTAAGTTCCAATGCACGACCATCGACATAAACTACGATTATACCGGACAGTCGTGGTCGCTTAGAAATTTACATTTGCGAAAAGGCCCGAAGCCCAACGGTCTTTCACGAGAGGAATGGAGCGAGAAAATTTATTGAGCGAGTATATCGAATCGATTGGAATCGACTTAAATCGAATTGAACTGGTATAGAGATAGTTTCCTATCCGCAAGTAGCTTGCTGTTACCTTCCTTATACTATATGTCTATATAGCTATATGTATGCTTTAGGTAAGAGGTAAGAACGCTCCTACTGCAAATGGCTTGATCCTAGTCGGAGCAAATAATCCGATGACTGGGAAAGATAATCTTGCGGACCCCGCACTCTGCGGGCGTACAAATTAGGCTGCGCCATGCTGCCTACGTTCGCGATTACGGTAACGTAACCGAATGACATAACGCGAATAAATTACGCCAAAGGAGAGGAAGCACGATCCTGTCCTTGCTTTTCATTCGTTTACGGGCTTTTGTTTTGCGACGATTCGCTATACCATTTGCTCCGTGCTTACGAATATAATTTGATGTTAGTGAGCACGTATAGATGTAGGACAAATGTATAGCGAGAGCTTGTGGCGTACAATGCAGATGGCGCTGATAGTATGCGCCTATACGTTTTCGCACGTGTTTACTAGAGTATAGCTATATCTGTACGCACATACCGAATAGGTATTGTCTATAATGCATAAGACTATGCTATTCTGTGTACAGACTGGATGTACCGATCAGGCGAAATACCAACCTGACGGCTCATCATTTTTGTCCACGTGATTCTGTGTATGTACAGCATGACTTTTTTTTTGTACTCTCGAGAAATCCACGCGACAAACATCTTGACAGATTCTTTTTTTCTCTTCGTCCTTCATTAAGGGATCATTTCGTTCGTTTCCTGTCTGTTTTGAATTTTTGTTTTATTTACGGCTTTCCACGTGTCGTCGAGGTCGGATATGTATTTGTGGATGCTGCGTTGGTATTATTTTTTTTTCTACTGGACGACAGCTTTGCTTTATGTATCGTGATGATATACATATAATGGGTTCTCTGAGGTAATACTACTTAAAAAATTTTTTAAACCTTATTTTTTGAACTTTTTGCTGATTTCTCGAATTTTTCGTAATTTTCATGAAATTCAAACCCACCTTATTAATCTGACGCTGGAGTTTGGTAATGGTCGCACGATCTCGTTGTGCGGCCACACGTTCCGCTTGCAAAGTTTGTTCAAGCTGCTGCACACGTTCCTCCAAACTTTCCTGTAAAGCAACGAGTACACCATTGATAATATCTGCGATATACATTATAACGATATCAGAAAATCAATAACATATTAATGATCGACGTATGGGAAAGTACAGTCTGTGTAATGATTATCGTGATATTCGTGATTAGATTAATGAAGGACGAGGTATAAATATAATATATACATATACATGTATATTGACCTAAGGTATAATCAGTTACACCAAATTCGACCAATCAGAAATATGTTTTCTGCAGTAAGTAAATGTACCTTCAGCGTTAAAACCGGAACAAACCTTCCCAAAACGACGTTAACCGTTCGCCAGGGACAACTGGGTCTTTATTAAATTAGAGGAAGTTACGTGCCCCTTACTGAGAAAGCGGACACACGTATCCGTTGCAGAAGCAAATGTGCGACATCAAACACATTATTCTCACGACCGCATCGGTTCCCGCCGTTTGCACAGGAACGTGCACCGGAACTCGGGGAATCCAGTGAGAACATTCTATTTGATCTATCCGTAGATCCAGTGCGAACAAATCAGCTTAATTAATAAGGGTGGTAAAAGCAGAAATTACAATAGCTGGAAGCTCATCGTGGGGTTAATTTATTTAACTTCCTATCAATAAAAAGAAACCCGCCTGAAAAAAACATTGGTCAAAAATCAGATTCAATATAAAAAAATTACCCCCCCCCTAATTACCCTAATTACCGAATTTTCAAAATTTACCAACTTTCCCTCGTTTTTTAAACGTTTAATTTGACCTTCTGAAACGGCCCACCGTTACAAAGCCACATACATAGATATAGCCAAGATACGCATACAGCATCCAACAGTCAGGAGCCATAGAAATTTATATACTAGTTCTGATTTAGACGCTGAAAGCATAATTTACTAGGAGCGCGTGCAGCAGGGAGGGGGGGCGGGTGGTTAAGATTATCTGGAATATTTACTGGAATCCTTTGCACGGAATAATAATCGGTAGCAGGGCAGACGATTTGACCGTGAGCATTGGGCGCAATCCATTAGATCCGTAGCGGGTGGAAGCTTTAAGGGATGCGAATGGTCCGAAGAGGCAGCGTAGGCTACGGCGAACTGGTATGCATTTATATGCGAGAGCACGTAGTTGCAATTCACCCTCTCAAACCCCTCACTCTCCTAACCACGTTTTACTGCTCCTCATTCCACTTCATTCCGGCACTTCGCATCTCCGGCTACGGTAGAAGCCCTCATGCTCCCACATCCTCCAGCCCGTGTACCGGGGCCACGGCTATTGTTTGTTGTGAACGTCCCCGGAGGTGGAAGGCTGGAAGGAATGGTAGAAGGTTGGTTGGGACGGTAAGGGTGGAAGTATGGTAGCGATGGTAGGTATGGTAAGGGGTAGTTTCGGATCGTCCGTCTACCTTCTTTACATACAGCTGTATAACTATATATATACCCTGACTGGTACATGCATGGGATATAGACCTGCACGTTGTAAGTGGCTACGGATATATATATATATATATATATATATGTATATGTATATATATAGGATATCCCATAGGATTAGTATAGGGACGTCCGGGGACGTCGTTTAGGCTCAGTACCTTCCGACGTACCCTCTCTATATGCAGAGATTCCGTTAAATTGCAAACAGCCATTCTCCGGTAAGGGTTGTTTCGCCTTATGGCAGGAGGGTCGTGTTTTACTAGTAAATATTACGGGGCGTGTATTCTTTTGTTACGAGACTCTCGAACGTATTATTATATCTAACGAGGCTGAATATTTAATTCAAAGTGACATTCGTCTCGAGTCACTCGAAGGAAGGATAGTCACTGTCAGAAGCACGTGGAAATGTAGGTATGTCATGGGCGTCGTACGCCCGCTCGAGTCCCGTCGAGGTTTTGGCAGCGTTCCAACCCAGCGAGGCAGTGACCCAGTCAAAAAATCTTTTCACCGGAGTAACACAGGTTGTACTACGAGGCAGTGGGTCCGAACTGAATTCAATGTGTATTCGTATTTCCATCGACACGCTGTATGGTATTTATGGTGCCCATTCGTTTACCCTATCAACATTAACCGTAATGACGGATATCAAAGTTACAGGCGTATCTCGCATACGGTTTAACGAGCTATTTAACAGCGTTTACTATGTTTTACATACGGCCAATGGCGGTTTTCTCTTTGGGCTTCGCTCGTGTTTTTCTCGCCTCTCACTGGAGCTTCCAGGATCCCCTTTTGCATCGTGCTTGTTACACCGTTCGTACTCGAATGCTTCGATAATGTGAAAACGGAAGCCTCGCTGGGGCGTCGCGGGCGTCTTTGATCCCGGTGTGTTTTCAATTTGGCACGAATGCGCGAGAATACAGCCCCGGGCGGCGTACCTCGTTGCACCCCTGTTGCTTGACGCACACCCCCCGCGTATCTACTGCTGTTACCATTTACCGTGGGAGAACGAAATTAACGCTTGTTGGGGTGGCCTTGGATCCTGCATTTTCAGTTACACCGTAAACCGACCTTTGTGTTTGGCTGTGGGCTTATGAGGGAACGTTGGAGTGAGAGAGAGGGATGTATAGATTTAAAAGGGAGAGAGTGACTTGGAGAAGGGGAGAGTCATTTCACGTTAAATGCGAATCGATTAATTTACATTTGCCACTGGTTTTGCCAGGCGGGAGATTTTTAGTGGTTCCATTTGAAAATATTATTTAAGTAATGAAAATGCTGACGTGCGATTTATTTAAATGGGGGTGGTTTTTGAAAATTTGGGTAATAATTTTTTATTTAATCTTTTTTTCTTATCTATCGTGTCTCTGTACGGCGTAGATCTTTTTTTTTTTGGGGAGAAAATATTTTTTTAAAATTTGATTATTTTTAATAGACTGATTTATTTTTGGTTTGCGCGAACTTTTAGGGCGCAATTGTCGGGAATGGGAATAAAGTGCGAACAGTCTTACGAACAGGTCATTTTGAATGTTTAAGATTGAACAAAAATTGTCTGTCGCAATTCCAGAGCGGCTTCTTGGTAGAGAAGAATCGGGGAGGATTCTTTGCTGACGTGAAATGATTCTACGGTAATATGTCATGAGAAAAGAGTTACTCTTGTAGGAATGGGGTATAAGCTTCCACGTTGAGCTAAGCTACTCGGATCCTGGAAGGAGGCTTCTTCTCGTGAATCTACGTTTAGGAGGGGTGGCAAACGGGAATTATTCAGAAAATATGCATCAGCCAGGCTTTGCATATCGGTCACTCAGCCGTAAAATGCACTTTACATTCGCTCGCAAAAACCTACTTGGGATAAGTGAATTATGGATACGGGAACTGGCTGTGTGTATACATTATATAGGTACAAACTAGACACAATAGATAGATACATACACTAAGTCGAGATTTCCGGTTTCATTTTAAAGTTTCATAATAGCATAAAAGAAAAGGAGAAAATAATTTAAATCCTACTTGAAACTAATTTGTTTAATCAATAATCTCATTTATCATATTTATTTTATTTATAACAAATTCGAGTATTAAAATGGACAATTGTCGACAGTCTGCAATTTATTTTAATGATTAAAAATCGAATATATATATATATCCATTATATATTTATTGGATATGTACAATCATTTTTTTTCCCCTATATACCCCATAATGCTGCGTTTGCTCGCCTCGACGTTTTTCAACAACCCGGCAGCCATTTACGCATGATTTCACTCAAAGTGTTCTCAATGCTACTTGACAAGTTGATGATCGCACGTAATACGTCCACTTGGCATAAATCACTGGGAAACGATTGCGATCGATCCTGATCCTTTATATTCAGCAGCCATAGAATTGCAGCGCGTAAGCGTTTACTCTGTACAATAATATAGACGACTGGAAATATGTCTGTACTCGTGTTAAATGACTCGTGACTATCGATACCAAATACGCTAATAGTCGTGCTAAAAAATATCACTCGACAATATAATTAATCCTAGTGAATTATGGTACAGACATAAATAAATTGGATAACTCACAGAGAACTATTTAAAATTTATATTGAATTTCTTTGATTTTTTTTTTTTTCTATCTATTTGTATCTATACGTCTAAAATTGACTCGAAGTAGTTAATCTGTTTAGAGTCAGACAGTACCGTACATTATATTTTGAGATACGTATAGCTTATAGCGCGTACAATTATTCATAGTGATCATCAATCAAATGGTATCTTGAAATTGGACATTTTTATTGGTGATTTTATTATTTTATCAAGTACCAATGGGAATTTAATGTCAGAGCTCCCGCAGTTGCGGAACGTTGGCGTTACAGTATCTCATAGCGTCTCAACAATGGGAGTAAGATAGCATGGTGGTTTACGATTTTTGTGAAATTTATGAATGAAAAAAAATATAAATAAATAAAGTTGTTTATCAAGCAACAGTTCTAAGCGCTGTTTCACGAAGCGTCAAAATAAATATTTTTTCTATCGGTCGAGACGTTCGTGTCCGTTGGATGATTTACATGGCAATCTACTAACGCCTTGGTGCACACAGAAACGTTTTGATTTATCCGGCCACTTTCACAAAGTACTGGACTTCTGCCAGGCCGGAAGGTCCATCCCGCCGGAAATCACAGCCATATTTCAGAACCCTCGCGCCCTACGTGTCTCCCTCGCATCCTGCTATGCATTTGCATAAAGTAGAAGACTGCGGTTTGAGAAATCAATTTGGCCTTTCACGCTTCCACGACTGGGAAGACGACTTTTTTTTTTTCATGATTTCTACTCACTTTTCGAACCTTTTATATATTTATTCATCCACTCCTCGTCCCTTGAGCCTTTTTCTTTTCCTTTTTTTTGATAAGGTCATTGTTGATTATTGACATTTTAATGGACTCATACATTTTTTTTTCTTTTAATATCGAAGCTATTGGCAAGTCAGTAAAAGTGATTACTTGATTTTCTACTGGCGAATTATTCATCGTGGTACGGATACGGAAAGTATCGATTTATAATGTTAAAATGTATTATTGATTTATTACGGTAAATGGATTT